GTGTTTGTTGTAGGATATTGTTATATCCTAACCTATAGATAGTCAGTAGGATTTCCCCCTCCCCCGCCATCGTAATCACATTCCCTATCTGCTGGTCGTTATCATACAGACCTACCCAGTCTCCTTCTCGTAGGTTAGGTCCTTTTCTTAAGATTCTGACCCAGTCTAGAGGGACAAAATCTATTATTAGTTCAAGAGATGATTCAACTTGTCTGCAATATTTTAGTCTAGATGATAGATCAGTGTAAGTTATCCAATTTTTGGTTTCTTTATTCAAGATATCTCCTACCCTGAGGATTCCATTTTTTACCCATCCCCTCCATGGGGAGTCCATACAGTGTAGCATCCTCCCTTGTGAGTCTGGAATCCATCTGTTGTCAAAGAGTGGTTGTTGACAAACTTCCTCCCATCTTTCTGGAGAGGTCTTGTCCGGTAGAGGCAATTTTCTCCATGTTTTGAGAAGATCTTGCCAGAAGGAATCATTCTTCATATCTAATCTCGCTGCTTGTTGTTTCGAGATTGACTCCTGGTTACACACCTGCGTTCTTCTTCTAGTTATAGACCAGTTGCGATTCTCTATCCATATCATGGGGTCCGTATCTTCAGGGACTTCCGGTGCGAGTCTTTCAATTTGTTCCCAGGCTAAGGCTATCCAGGGTGTTTGTGGTTTGAATAATAATCGTTTAATCCATTGGATAGCCAGAGCCATTACTTGAGTAGCCGGGTCCAATATGCCTAGTCCTCCTTTTGTCTTTGGTTGTACTACTGCTTGCCACACAACTCTACTTATAACATTTTTGTGATCATGATTGCCTCGCCAAAGGTAGGTCGTTACTTGTCTCTTAAGTGCTTTTAAAACTACTTTGTCTAGAGACCAAATTGTTGCTTTATACCATAAGGAAGCGAATATAACATTATTGATGATAGGTGTCCTGCCTATGATAGATGTTTGTTTGTCCTTCCATTGTTCCATTTTTGTTAGGGCTGGTTTAGTTATCCATTCATTATTTGCCTGAGGTTTAACTTCTGCAGACAATGTTATCCCCAACACTCTAATGGGTGTTGTGGGGGGTAACCAGTTGATATGAGGTAGTTCTGGTGGTCTCACCCCTTGGTGATGAATCCACCACCCTTGAGTCTTGTTCCCCCAGTTAATTTCCATGTCTGAGAGATAGCAAAATTTGTTCAATAATTTTTGGATTTCCTCCATGTTATCATGGGAGGCATCCACCATTAGCGAGAGATCGTCTGCAAATAGAGAGCAAACTGGGATGGCCTCCTTGGGGAGGTATGAGACTTGAATACGGCTAACATCCTTGTTTTGTCTTAAATTGGCCGATAAGGCTTCCATCATAATAACAAAAAGAAAGGGTGCAATAGGGTCTCCTTGTCTCACCGACCGTTGAAGATCAATTGGTGGTGCTAGGTTACCATTGATCATCACCCTTGTTGTAGCATTAGAATGTAATATCTCAACCCATCTACGAAAGTCTGGACCAAAGTTTAGTTTTTCCAGACATTTATCTAGAAATAACCAGTCGACATGATCGTAAGCCTTTTCAAAGTCAATGAAAACAAAGGCCGCATTATGTTTCGACTGTCTAGACAACTTAATTAATTCGTTAACTAGAAGAATGTTGTCCTGGATATTCCTTCCTTCGATGAACCCTGTCTGCGTAGGGTGAATAATGTCTGCTATAACTTTCCTCAATTGATTTGCTAGGGCTTTCGCGGCCATTTTGTACACCACAATGAGCAGAGTGATTGGTCTGTAGTTTTTAATGTTCGTTCTCTCTCCTTTTTTATATAGAAGAGTTAGAATGTCTTGGCCTATCACCTCTCCCATTCTACCTGTCCTCCATACTTCGTTGTAGAAATCCATAAGATCATGTGAAAGATGTTCCCACATCAACTCCCAAAATTCCTTTGGGAGACCATCTATGCCTGGGGTTTTTTCTTCTTCCATCATCATCAGGGCTGTCCAAATTTCATCTTTTGAGAGAGGTTTTTCTAGCATCTCCTTCTGTACTTCTGTCAATGCGTTAGAGAGAGGTGCTAGAAATTCTTCAATCTCTTGTTCTCGTTGATGTCTGGGTATATTGTTGCATTTTGACTTTAAAAACTCCTTGTAATAATTCCTTGCTATCAATGAACAAGCTGCAGTCGAGATGGCCCAGGGTCCCTGAGGATTTTGGGGGTCAGAAAGTGCTTCTATCACCGATCTTCCGGTTCTAACCTTTGCAATGGCAAAAAACCTGGCATCCATCACTCCTTCCGTGTTGTATCCTTTCAATTTTCCTCTAATTCTTATTCCTTGCCATCTGTACTCCATGTAAGAATAAAGTTTGGATTCTATATTTCTAATCTCTTCTGTTACCAAATTTAAACCCTCCTCGTCCATTGAATCTTCTTCACACCGCGCGCGCCCGAGAGAGAGAGAGAGAGAGAGAAGGTGGGGGAGAAGCGTCCCACTAGCAAAGAGGATGGGATGAGGATCCGAATCTATACATGTTTTATGCAGATCTGTGTATGTCCAGATTTTCTTTAGTCCTCTAGAACAATTTGCTATTATTCCATTGATTCCTTTTCATATAGGAAACTTGTATCTTTCAACCAGTGGTAATGACCCTTTTTACTTCTTCTCTTTTTACCATACCCCATTGAAAGATGGGAATCCCTGCTATACCCAGTCCCAGTGGCCAACTTTTGTCTATACCCAGAAATGGCCTGTAGAAATTAATTGCAAGCCCAGGACCCAAGGTGGTCCAAGGTTGGTAGCAAGCCCCAACTACCTGAATGCTCAAATTATGGACATATCCAACCAAATTATGTGCATACCCTGGACTGAGGTGGACCAGCCAAACTGTGCTTATACACGTCACCAGATGGCTGTAATCATCCTCACGCCCAACGGCCATTGAGCCACACAGATCCATGGGGAAATTACTGTTATACCTAAGTACTGGCCCCAAAGGTCCCACTAGCACAGAGGATTGAATTTAGCACCTGCATCTTGAAGGTTTTTTTTTTTTTTTTTTTTTTTTTTTTTCACCTGCATCTTGAAGTGTTTGTGGAGAGGTGCAGAAAATCTGGACATACACAGATCTGCATAAAACATGTACAAATTCGGGTGCTCATCCCATCCTATTTGCTAGTGGGACGCTTCTCCCCCACCTTCTCTCTCTCTCTCTCTCTCTCTCGCGCGCGCGCGCGCGCGCGCGTGCGCGCGGTGTGTCAATCCACACACGTGGGGGGAGAGAGGGTGAGAGAGGGAGAACGAGAGAGAGGGCAAGATCCCACTGGCAAAGGATTGGATAAAGCATCTGAATCTGGATGTGTTTCATGCAGAGATGCACCTGTCCACAGACACGTACAGATTCAGGTGCTATAATCCTCGGCCCCCCTTCTCTCTCTCTCTCTCTCTCTCTCTCTCTCTCTCTCTCTCTCTCTCTCTCTCTCTCTCTCTCTCTCT